TTGCATTCTCAAGCTCCCACTGTCCCCATCAGAGGATTCCCTTAGGGATGGGGAGGCTGGCAGTATTAACAAACTGGTTCTACGCTGCTACACACACCTCAGAAGGGAACACAGTACCCCCACCCTGGGAAAGGGGAGAAAGTTTAGAGCCACAAAGTCCAATCCCCCCCTCCCACACACACACACTGTCCCAGCACCACGAGCCGGCCCGGGCCCCTCCATACACCTGCCATTTAGAATGTGTGAGGCGTCCCTCACTCCTGAAGCGAAGGCTGCAGGGGCCAGAGCCCAGCGCGGCACTTTGCGGCCTGTGAGAGGCTGGTGTGACCTGGGATCTGTGTCCAGAGGCTGGGAATGCCTACGTCCGTCGTTTTCCACTTGGCGCACATTGAACCTGCTTCGGGGAGGCTATTTTTAAACTTAAGTAAGCATTACAGCCTTAGCCAGTTTGGCTCAGTGGATAGAGCGTCGGCCTGTGGACTGAAGGGTCCCAGGTTCAATTCCGGTCAAGGGCATGTACTTGGTTGCAGGCTCCTCCCCAACCCCGGCCCTGGTCAGGGCTCGTGCAGGAGGCAACCAATCGATACGTTTCTCTCACATCGATGCTTCTCTCTCTTTTACTCTCTCTAAAAATCAATGGAAAAATATATCTGGGGGGGAGGGAGAAGGATTAACAAAAAAACAAACCAGCCTTCCAGCCCACATTACGGCCCACATGCTCCCTGCTGGATGAAGCCGGGAAGTGGCATCATTTCTACAGAATGACATGTGCTTTCAGACCCGCGTCACCGTATTCCCATACAGTGACCTGGGGCTTTTCTTCCCGGTAAAAGGAACCCAGGATGTTTTTTTTTCTAAAACAATCCCCCTCCCTGCTTGGAATTCCTGAAGGCAGCTACTTGGTACTTCTGTGGCCTGGTCATGGCACCCAGCTCAGAAACTCCTCCCCCAGCTCCCTGTACTGCCCACCCCTCATAGCCCATCCACCCAAGGCCGCTTCCCATGACCAGCAAACCCTCTACCACCGCATTCGAAAACACTAGTCGCTTTAAAGTTAGTGGACAAGTCCAACAACATGTGGAAGCCCAGTTGTTTCCTATAATGTGAGTTTAGTAAGAAAAAGTAAGTTAGCCAGGTTTTCATAGTTATTAAAAAGCCCAAGGTTTTAGAAAAGGTGCAAAAGTTACCCACCGGTATAAAAGTGCTGCTGGCTGCACACTCCCAGAATAACACATCTAAGCAAAAACCCCTCTAAATACCCTCTCTCCAGTCCCCCGGCCCCCGGCCCGCCTTGTTGAGGGTGTAGGATGAGGAGAAGGCGGAAGCTCGCGGGATCAGCTCTGGCTGCTGCGCCCAGGTTGGACAGCTGTGTCCCTCCCCGTCCTCACTCCCATTCCTGACAGTTTCTGATGGATGTCCCACTGTGTGCAGAATCCCAGACCCCATTCTGACCTAACCTGCCCCCCCTTCCTCCTCTCATTTCCATCACCACCTTCAGATCCATTTTCAGAAGAGCCTGCTCCTAGGATCAAGAGCTCTAGCCTCTGACCCTTCAAATTTATCTAGAAAGACCCAAATTTTCCTTCTTGTCCTTAGTTATCGCCCCCTCCAGCCACAGGTACAATACATAACTTTACTGTAACGAAGGCAGCACGACTGAGCTGTGCACCTGCCACAGACTGGCTGGTACAACTCCACCTCCTTGGACGGTTGTTTTCTCATGAGCACAACGTGAGGGTTGAACGAGGAGACCTTTACAGAAGAAACTGGCATTTACTGAACACTTACTGGGGGCCAGGGAGACCCTCTGCGTATCTCCACACGGTCCTCTTACCAACGTGCTGGAGGGAAGGCACTGGCACCCTGAAGGAACCTGAAGGTCAGGAAAGGCGGGAGCACTTGCCCAAGGCTGCCTGGTCCCAGCAGAGCAGCGGTCCGGCCTCGGCCACATCTTTCTGCCCCTGGTCCCTTCCAGCTCCAACATGCTCTCCCATGTCCCTACTGCAGCCACCGTGGGCTGTGCCCTGACCAGTCCCTCATGGTTTCCAGTCACTCCAGTGAAGATCATCTTCACTGGGGGGCCTGGGGACCACAATCCCAGAGAACAGACTGAGACCAGCGGAAACTGGGAAATTCCCATGATCCCTTGGGAAAGTGATTGGGGGGAAAAACAGACAGACACAAGTATAAAAATTTGCTTCTAGCGTCTGCTCAAAGTCATGGAGCAGCAGTAGCAAACTCCCTTCGCAAGACGGACTCCTTCCCTCACCCGGGGAAAGGTCGGCCCCCGCCTCCCTGCTGCAGGCTGGGGAGCTGCCGGTGCAGGCGGAGGGACACAGCTCTCCAAACAGGATGCTGAGCAGACCACGCTCACAAATTTAAAAAAGACATTGGGTTGCCCGGCTGGTGTGGCTCAGTGGCTGAGTGTTGACCTAGGAACCAGGAGGTCACGATTTGATTCCCAGTCAGGGCACATGCCCGGGTTGTGGGCTCCATCCCCAGTGGGGGGCGTGCAGGAGGCAGCCCATCAATGATTCTCTCTCATCATTGATGTTTCTCTCTCCCCCCTCCCTTCATCTCTGAAATCAATAAAAATCTATTTAAAAAAAAAAAAGACACTGGATTCTGTTGCTAGCACCCGCTTCCCGGTCCATTCTACAGTTTATGTCTTGATCGCCTTCCTGCACAGGTGCAGAGCGTGAGCGCTAACGTCCTCTTTACGAGCCAGATTTGTGAAAGGAAATTTCTCAAGCTGTGACTTATAAAAGACCTCAGTGCTGCGGCTTTAAAAGAGTGTAGCTGAGAAACAGCCAGTGTGGGCAGGGATGAGATGCAGCCAAACCAAAAAGAGCAGATTCTCCTCATTTTCATATCCAGTAGAGTTTATGGGGAGAGGAGGGTGAAAACCGCGTATGTGAAACGGGAAGTGGGGGTGAGCGTGGGGACTGGCACAGGGTGCTCGCTTGTTTTCTAAGTAGGAGCGAAGCGACAACATTTTCATCGGGCGACCAGCCCCTGCCAGATACACAAGCTCCTGATTAATACTTAATGGAATGAATTAAGTTCCTCTTTCTGCCACAGAGTCCGTATGATGAGTGCGCTCTAGACAAGCATTTATAACTACGAAGTATCACCCAAGGCTAGTCTCAAATCCAAAATTTTAAGATCTTCTTTTAGAAATGCAAAGCAAATGTTGTAAACCCAAGACCTACAAATTCTGAAAATTTCAGCTAAATCCATTTCTAAGAAAAATCAGGAAGCCTATATACCAGGTAGTGAAATTACAGATTCTAATTTTCTTTGTGCTTATCTGTAGTTTTAAACTGGTCTACAGAGAAAATGTATGAGTATTTTAGTAAGACTCAGTGACTTCATGCTAAGCTGGAACTTAAAAATCACACTGTAAGTGCCTCCACAATTTCTCATACAAGAAATAAGAAGTAGGCACTTTTTACAGTTACTGCTAAATTATAAACATCTTTTTTTAAAAAAAAATATTTTTATTGATTTCAGAGAGAAAACGAGAGGGAGAGAAAGATAGGAACATCAATGATGAGAGAAAATCATTGATTGGCTGCCTCCTGCACGCCCCCCACTGGGGATCGAGCCCACACCCCAGGCATGTGCCCTGACCGGGAATTAACCTTGACCTCCTGGTTTGTAGGTCAACGCTCAGCCACTGAGCCATGCCGGCCGGGCTAAATTATAAACATCTTAAATCTGCACTTGCCAAGGCCTCTTCTCATAGTGAGGGCAACGCTGCCAGGAGACATCAGGTCCTCTGCTGGGAGAGAAAAAATGCCCCAACCCTCACTCGTATCTGTTAGAAAATACTAGATTCTACTCATCATTGGTAGGTGATTAGCTGAGGTGAAACATGAAGCTGACCTTCTACACAGACATAAAGTATCTTAAAGCCATCTTTCCTCAGCAGTTCACTCCTTCTATTTTTACATTTTGACATGAATAAAACTGGCGTATCTTTTATACCTTTTAGGAGTTTCACATTAATGAATCCAAGAAATTGTCTAAAAGAACTAAAATCCTCTAAGTACCAAGAAGCTATATTTAGAAGGGCACACTCTCCCTCCCCCACACGCCTGCCCGCCGGGAGGGAGGCCTTTCACCCACATCTGAGAGCAGGAGTGAGGCAATTGGCGTTTTACAACACTGTTTTTCATATAAGTCGAAAGCAACGCGCACTGGAAATGCACTCGGAGTGGGGCAGGAAAGGAAGGAGGACAGCGCAGAGAGCAGGGCAAGAGTCACCGCTGAGCACGCGGCTCCTGTCCCCTCACGTTTCTACTGACCAGGGGAAGGTTCAGAGGTGGAGGCAGGAGCAGAGCCTGGGAAGGACGGGGGAGGCATTTCGATTTCCTCGGCCATCCCACCATTCAGCCCGAGCTGTATTACGAGGGCACGCTCTGCTCCGGTGTATTTTCCTAACAATGACAGCATGACCTCCCGTTGCCCGAGGGATATGCAGCCATGGCACTCAGCAGCAGGCGCCCCCCGAGTGTCCTGTCGTAGCTCTGTGGCCGCGTTATTCTGGCAAGTTCTATTTGAAATCCCAGAGTCCCTTTCAATGGCTGGGGGATGTGTTCTAACTTTCAGATACAGCACAAGCGAAATCCTTCGGTCTGACATGCGTTTGACAACCCTCCCTCTTCTCTGCTGGAACATAAGGCCTGGAGAGCTGGGGCTCGGCCTGTCCCTCCTATCGCAGAATCTTGGGGTGACCGCAGTGCCAGTACAAGGGAGAGGCTTGGGGACTTCTGGAATGAGCCCCTGCGTGACGATGGGCAGACCCCCAGCCAACACCACCTCATCTGTCCCTCTGCCCGACACTCTGGCCTCCACCTCCATTTACAATCATCGGCAAACTTGTTTGTTGGGTCCATCTTCCCTTACAAAGCACCCGCAAGCAATCACGTCTGACAGGCGTGGCTCGTCTGGGAAAAGGCAGGGGAAACCCACAGGCAGGCCAGCCGTCCACTTACCGCCACCTCCACCGACTGCATGGAGAGGTCACATGGCGGCTTCAGGGCCCTGGGCCGCGTGGCGTACCAGAAAGTGGTGAGTGCAGCGAACGCGCCGAAGCCCATGAGCGTGTTGGTGGGAAGCGTGCGAACGTACTGTCGGAAGTCAGCCAGCTCTGGCATCCGAAAATACCGGAACAGCTCGTGGGCCTGCATCATCCCGTGCCGGTGGTGCCCTACGCTGACTTCTGTTGGGAGAGAAAAACGCCATGTTCATTCCAGGGAGGACTCCTGCAGATCCCAGAGCCAACACCGGACCCGACGGCCCCAGCCTCACGGCCCAGGTCTTCTCCTGGCTGCGTGATTCCGGTTTTGTAAAGATCCCGTTAGGAAGCATTTTACTTCTATCAGCCTGTATCAAGTTTTCATTAATCACATTTAAAAATGTTTACGCACAGAGAATTCCTGCCACAAAATACTCAGCTAAGTGGCATAAGTTACCATCTTCTTCCCCGACAGTATCCTCTGTTCTCCTCCACCTCATCACACAGAGCCAACTGCCACCAGCACAGCGAATGGACAGAGTGAAGAGGCACAAACACGCCCAAACCACCCAGGGCCGTCGGTTTTCACTTTTCCCACAAGCAGCTCCCAACTGATCAACAGACCCATCCAATGTCAATGTGTGTCTCCCCTCCCCCTCCTCTGCACCATGAAAGCAACAGCAGAAGTAGGTGCATGGGGAACGATGGCTGGCTATTCTGATAAAATAATTTCCTTTTTATTCCTCAACGCGTAGTATGGCTAAAACATAACAAACCAGTGTGCACAAACTATACACCAACCACCACACACGTGGAGAGAGATTATAGCGTAGTATTGGAGAAAACATACAGAATAGTATTTAAGGTCCCAGATTCCAGAACCAAATCCTGCCTCCCCCGCTCATTAGCTGTGTGATTTGGGACGAATGACTTCACCTCTCTGTGCCTCAGTTTCCTCATGTATAAATGGAGATGGAAAATAGTAACCTACCTCGGAGGGCTTTTATAAGGACTAAATAATTCACATAGAACTTAGAATGGTACGAGGCACCAGAAAGTGCTCAATGAATGGGATGCATCATTATTTCCTCTACCAATACTCTGTGGTTAGTCCTGTGTGCAGAACAGTAAGGTACAGAGGTAATAAAAGTTTACAAACAAAATTTAGAAGCCAAAATTAGATGAATAACTCAAAGCATATTAAAGCCCCAAATTGCATGTTATAGATAATTTACATATACATCAGTATAAAAAATGTAAAGTACAGGTAGTATAGAAGAATAATTCTCATTAGAAAGTTATTGATGAATTACTGCTCTGCAGTATGTTTGGCAGTAAAGGAAAGGTAATAACAGTAAATGACCTGAAAGAGTTTTCTCGAAAATTTCCTGGCAGTCCACTAAGTGTTCATTTAGCTCAAAGTTCAGGTATTTGTGAGCTACTTGTTCTATGTTCTTTTAAACAGACTGAAAATAATCCTCCTTTTTCAAATATAGAAGTCCTCTTTTAATTTCACTGCATTCTTTTCTTTTCAGCGTAGCAGCAAATCAAGTGTTTTCACTGGCCACTGATACTACAGGGGCCAATAGAATGTATCTGTTCAGCTCATGCAATCTTGTGCTACAACAGCTCTGTGTAGGTGTAAGCACATATGTACACACACGTATGTATACACACACACACACACACACACACACACACACACACACTGGAAATTTCAAGCTCAACAGATAAGCAAATTTCTTCAGGTCAGAATTCTGGAGAGAAAACACCAGTACTTACAAAACCACTCACCATCTGTGCCACCAACAGCTGAGTGCAGGTGACACACCACTGCAGAGACAGAAAAGGCGGCGGGGTGGGGGTGGGGCCGGGCGGAGGAGCTCAGCCTCATGCTTACCCGCCTGCCAAGGTCTCTCGGGGCATTAGTCACATGCCGAGTCCTGTGCTGCTGCCCACTGGGCTAAAGGTAACTAGCAGACAAAATCCATACTTGACTTCCCAGGAGAAGAGGGGTGAAGGATGGCCAATGAGAAGCTGGGAGCAGAGTCACCCCACTGCTCCACCCATGGGCAGGGACAGGCATCAGTCAGTGTCACTGCCAGTGCCAGCTCTGAAAACAGACATTGTTTTCTTTCTGCTCAGCTTCCCAATCGGAAGAGACAATGGGCATATTTTGAAAAGCCACTGAAATGATCAGATGTTGGGTGGTATGTTGAACCAACACAAGACAGACCAGGAAAGAAACAGACGGTCAACATACACTCGCAGCACATTTTATTCTAGATGAATTCATAGGAATTAAACTACTCCAGTCCTTGAACATATCTGAGCCTCCAGCGTGCACCAGGCATGCGCTAGGAGCTGGAGGACAGCGCTAAAGACAGGGCCGGGTGCTCAGTGGGCCAATCAGCTGGCGGCGGGGGGGGGGGGGAGGGATACAGTACAAAATTAATATCTACAAGGTGTGATGGGTGTTACCACCATTGACATCCAGTGATCAGGCTAGGCCTCTCTGAGGGAGATGCTTACAGGAGACTTTGAGGCTAAGCAGACAAATGGAGTCGGTCCTCTTGGCACTGAGCTGTCAGACTTCATACAGTACTGCAATTCTACGAATGCAAAGCAACCTTCTGCAGTTAATGTGCACACACCTGCCTTCCCCTCTAATCGACCCACCTCCTACTTGTCTTCGTTACCCGCCTCAGCACTGTAAGTTGAATGGGAGTCCCCCACCCCTCACCCAACACCCTTGCCTTTCTTTCCCCGAAGTAATTTCAATAAAACCTAGATCGTGTGAATTTACAGGGGTTGTCCTACAGCAGGGGTGGGGAACCTATTTTCTGCCAAGGCCCATTTGGATATTTATAACATCATTCGAGGGCCATACAAACTTGTCAACTCCAAAATTAGCCTGTTATAGTCAAACACTAACTCACCCCCAAGGCCTTGGCAGGGCCAGACCCAATGATTTCTTGGGCCTCATACGGTCCTCAGGCAGGACATTCCCCACCCGTTCTACAGCATCACATCCCCGTGTGAAAATATTAAATAACTCCCTCACAAACAAGTACAGTCCTAAACGGGTAGTTTTTTTTTTCTATTGTAAGCATTGGCAATAGCCAAGCTGCAAACAGCATCAAACTAAGAATGAAAGGAGTCTATTTTTAGAAACGCCTAGGAAAGAAAGCTTTTTTAAAACTTGAGGAAAGTGCAGTAGCACTGGTGCAAAAGCATTTTATTGGATACTGACCTGTAACGCCGAGGGCTTTAACGCCAACTAAATGCTTATCTTTGGTGACAGAGACAAGCTGCAGTTCCCTCCATGCCTCCTAGCTGCCAATCAGTAACCAGCGGCAAACCAGCCACACCGAACAAACTGGTTAATGCTGTGGGTAGGAAACTTCAGCCCATGCAATACAGGACTAAGCCAAGACCTCAGTTAGATCCGTGGAAAGAACCAAGAGCATTTTCAATCTTCCCCCATCTATTTAACTGCTGTGAGGAAAAGGAACTTGGGATCCTTAGAAATGGAGGCAGACCTACATTCAAAGAAAATGAGCCACAGTAATTGCCTTCAAATGCTGTGGGTCAGCGGTTCCCAACCTTGGCTGCACATTAGAATCACCTGGGAATCTTTTTAAAATCCTGATTTCTGGGCCTCATCATTAGTAACAAAGAAACAGAATTTCCAGAGGATGAGGTCCAGAAATCAGGATTTTAAAAGGATTCCCAGGTGATTCTAATGTGCAGCCAAGGTTGAGAACCACTGCCCTAAGGTGAACCTCAAGTCCTCTCAATTGAGACACAACTATAGGATTATAAAGCCTGTTGTCTCACGAATGAAGAAAAATTCCGTTGTACAACTAAAAACAGTTTTGGGACCCCCGGAAGGTGGAGAGGAACATAGGCCACGGGTTATCCCCCAGAGAGCACCACCGCCCGAGAACTCACAAACTCACCAGGTCCACAAAAGAATTGGGATAGGGCGGGCGCGGGATATGTCACCATCTCTAGGGTATCTGACCCCAAAGCGGGGTGGGCAGCCA